TCAGGCTTGCTGACTTGGTTGACACATGTCATCGTATTCCAATTGCGTAGTTCGATACTCATGATGTTGAGCACTGGATTGTCTGGTCCAGACACGATTATTTACAGACCGCCACCATGTAGCTAGAATATTGTTGACTGTGGCGTTAACCACCAACCCACGAACATGGATATGTGAACTGCATGATGGACATGTCAGACCACATGGTGACCTGGTGTCCTGACCTATCCCCAATACAGCAATGTTCTTCAGTGGAGAATGTTATGTATCTGACCAAGGAACCGCCAACGTAGTCCAGCTTGGGGTACATTTAGGTGTTCAGTCATTCACTATCATTTCTAAAGTTTCCTGTTTTGTGTCTATAGTGTACATATCAACGTCATTCATACACAATCGTTCATTGTTCCGTCTTCTGTTAACTTATGTAATCATTTGCCCGCATCAAATACATACTCCAGCACTCTTAGCTCTTTCAGATCCATGTTTACTGCGGCTGGAGGAAGTACTAAACACTGTGTACAACATTATTAACTCAAGCAGTCGGTTTAATAATGATGGCTTTTTGACAGTGGGTGTAATGCACATTCCTGTCTCCTTGTTGTCCGTGTGAAAACCTTTATTACTGCTGAATATGAATGTCCATTTTTCCCAGTGCTACCTTTGGCTGTCGTGAGGCAGAAGTCATTAGCGTTAGGAGCACCACTACATTTAGCCGGGGTGTCCCCACAACAGTACCGCCGTCCCTTTCAAAAAGGGTCTATAAGGGTCTATTAAACATGGAATAAGAGTTACAGCTTGGCACAAAGTCTAGAATAGATTCTGGCGCCAACATTTTGATACCGTCACGTCACGTGAGGCACCACTGTTTTTGGTCTGGGAGTGGCAGCCATTGTTATATTTTACTGCAGCTTCAATCACTAGTGGTCCCTTAACTTGAATGAGACCATATGAAACTCAGTTCCTTTAATTAACTAACAAAGTATTCAGGAGAAGTCACGGTCTGAATTGAATCCAGGAATTAACGTGACTGATTATAGAAACCTATGGGTACCACTAGGTATGTTGTCCATGATGCTGATGTGCCGTGTACAACCAACACTGTAAGTATACAGTTTCAAAGCTTGAGGCTGTTCCAGCCAACTTATCGAAGATGAGGATTTATGTAATGTGAGTATCTTTCACATTCAACATGCACCATATAATTTGGTGTATTAACGCCAACAATAGGGAACTTCTTACATGTTAATAAATGTATTTTTTCAATCGGTTCAAAAGTCTGAAAATCCAATGTTTCAGCCTACGCAACACAGTAGTAGAAAGAACACAAAAATACGCCACGCTTGAAGCAAATCGAAAGAGAGACAGATGTCAGAATAGCCAAACAAGGAGCTAACCACACCGACATTGCCAGAACCTTCAGTTGCACCAGAGCAAGTGTCATCAGACTGATGCAACAACTAAGACAAACAGGCAATACGTAAGACATACCTAAGAGTGGTCGACCACGTGTGATGATCGGTGATGATCGCCACACCCGGACAATTCATCTGAGAAATCGTTTTGTAACGGCGACGTCAGCGGCATCGACGGCACTAGGACACCATATCAGTCGACATTTATTATCTGCACGGGGGTTCATTCATGACGTGGGGACTGACTGGAAGCAGGACATTCTCTGCGCGGAGGTGCATACGTGACGTGGGGACTCATTGGAAGCAGGACATTCTCTGCACGGAGGTTTATTCATGACGTGGGGAGTGACTGGAAGCAGGACATTCTCTGCACGGAGGTTCATACGTGACGTGCGGACTGATAGGAAGCAGGACATTCTCTGCACGGAGGTTCATACATGACGTGGGGACTGATTAGAAGCAGGACATTCTCTGCACGGAGGTTCATACATGACGTGCGGACTGATAGGAAGCAGGACATTCTCTGCACGGAGGTTCATACGTGACGGGAGGACTGAAGCAGGACATTCTCTGCACAGGTTCTGACTGCACGAAGAGGACATTCTTGCACGGAGGTTCATATGACGTGGGGACTGACTGGAAGCAGGACATTCTCTGCACGGAGGAGGTTCATACGTGACGTGCGGACTAGCAGGACATTCTCTGCACGGAGGTTCATTCTCTGACTGGACTGATAGGGAGCAGGACATTCTCTGCACGGAGGTTCATACGTGACGTGCGGACTGATAGGAAGCAGGACATTCTCTGCACGGAGGTTCATACATGACTAGGGGTGACTGGAAGCAGGACATTCTCTGCACGGATTGACGTGAGGGACTGACTGGAAGCAGAACATTCTCTGCACGGAGGAACGTGCAGGCAGGACATTCTCTGCACGGAGGTTCATACATGACGGTAGAAGCAGGACATTCTCTGCACGGAGGTTCATACATGACGTGGGACTGATGGAAGCAGGACATTCTCTGCACGGAGGTTCATACATGACGTGGGGACTGACTGGAAGCAGGACATTCTCTGCACGGAGGTTCATACATGACGTGGGGACTGACTGGAAGCAGGACATTCTCTGCACGGAGGTTCATTCATGAGGTGGGGACTGACTGGCAGCAGGACATTCTCTGCACGGAGGTTCATACATGAACAAGAATGATATTCAGAATAAGTTAATAGTCCTATAACGTGTACGTATTCCTATGAAAATTACATGTCTGTGTTAGTCGTATCTTCTAACTATCAGTATTGATAAAGGTCGGACTGTACTCTGTGGCTACCGCTGCACTTCACATTTACTCCATATTGAAGATTTCTCATATCACAATGACCCATGAGAAAAACAAAAACAAAAACAAACTATAACACTGGTCTATTTGAAAACGAATATCATTTTCTGTTATTGTGTAAATTTGTAAAACCATACAATTTCAAAACATCTTACAATCTTAGGCATAAATACATTCGTGGAAAATGCTAAATCCATCCCATATCAATTAAAGGTCACATGCAACCAAAAAATCAAACATAATTAAAACACAATTATCACTTATTCATGACATATAATATACATTGCTGGTTATGAAAAAACATATAAACAAAATTATAAGCGTACAATCGCAAATCAAAAGTGCAAAATTGTGTACTTCGGTTTACTTCCCAAGAAACGAAGCAGCCGGGATACCGAACCCAGTCAGAGCGGGTGGGTGTGCACTCAAGTGTAACGGCTGGTTCATTTGCAGACGCCCTCACGGCTAGTTGTGTGTGTATATATAGAGATGTTGGGTTTTGTAAATACATGCTCATTTTTTGTGTATAACATTTTGCAATCAACAGACATTATAACATGTCATGTGTTCAACTATCACACCTGCCTGTCTGTGTAATTACATAATGTGACAGAGACCGAACTCGGGCCATAAATCAATGCATTTTGTTTATGGTGTATAGCCTGATTGGTGTTAAGTTCAAATTGCATGTGGTCAGTGATAGCAGCTGTGTATTGAATACTGTCATTAGCAGACAGGCAGGCAGACACACAGGTGTCAATAAAACAAGACATTGAGTTTTGTCTGTGACAACGACATATCTATATCACAGTTAGAAATTCTGTCAACGCTAAATAATGACATTGCTTTTAAGTATCGAACTGAGAAAGTGTCTCGGTAAGAAGAACGTATGGTGAAATAGACAAATGAAATTATATAAACAGTTAATTTATTGTCATAACATATAAAAAAGCTCGCGCCTGTGAGATATCAACAAAACATTAGAAAAATAGCTCACACCAAAGCCTTCACCGAGTATTCACCCGACAACCCGCTTCCAAGCTGCGCGAACCTATTTACTTGCGCACGTGCTATGAGCGCAGCCCAGCTGTTGAAACCCGTTTTCCCCAGAAAAGTCTGGGGAAAATTAGTGAAACGTTTGAACTCCGATTTCGCGCGGTTTTTTTCATCGCGTTATTTTTCAACTTTATAAGTTGAATTTGCATTTTTTGCCGATTTGTTTCGGTCAGTCCATACCGAAAGGTATCAGAATCTGCAAAGTTGTGTTTTACGTTGCATGTGACCTTTAAGTTAAACGTATATGCCACGGTGAAAGCATGAAAAACCTTTCAATGTTTATATTCCAATCATGGCGTCGGGGCTGCTAGGAATGGAAAAATCCACTGGTATATGAATTGTATCCATCACATCGGAGCATAATGATTAATAATATAAGTGTAACAGAAAACCCTCCTCCAAGATATATGACAAAAGAGATGATTTCAACTTTTTGATAGTCATCTTTCCAACATGTTCAGCAATATTCCATCATCTCCAGCCTTTGGTGTTTACAGTTTTGATGTACAATCGGACATGCTATGCTCTTTTTATCAAGATTTCAATGAATGTCATACGACTCAGAAGTTGTTTGATCAAGGTTACAACATTCAAGTCCTCGGTAATGTTTTCAGAAAGTGTTATAATAGCCATATTTCCCATGCAGTTCGAAATCTTGACTTATACCATACGTTCCCGATCTTCATTTTTAATGAACAATTGACTATCCTTTGTATGAGTTTATGACGGGTGATATCGGTGGGGAAGACCACTTGGTATCAGTATTTCACTATGTGATGGTGATTTATAAACACATGATCATGGTCGGAATTGTAGAACTGAGTGTGATTATAGCAGAGATTTCTTATGGTTGTGGAAAGGATTTGGGACTTTTATTTACCTAAGTTACAATGGGTCACTGGCGTAATAAATGAAGAATATCGATATTTGAACCACATGTTTCATGAGTCCCAAAAGACGAGAATATTTCAAACTATTAAACAGAACATGAAATCCATATTATTTGCAACATTGGCCTATTTCAAACACTTTTCTGGTTCATTTCGCGAAAACGCACATCCTCTGCTTTCATTCGGGAGGTATCGGCCTGTTTCGACGTTGCCCCATGTCCGCTCCTTTGTTCCGCTTGTAACTCCGAGATATGTGAATTGGTGTATTGAAATCTGAATGCATTGACAACATAGTTCGTTGACACACAGTGAAAGATGTTTATAGTTCGGATCTGTAAATCCGTCGGAGACGTAACAGCACATTTTCAAAATATACTTATAGGTTCTCGGTTCGCGGTTTCTTCAAGGACGCAACATCATATGAGGTAGAGCTGCGTAGTGATATTTGTATTTTAAAGCAACAGATTGCCGCGGAATTTGACTGCACTTCCGCTGTAAACAGCACTGCACATTTTATCATTGAGAAACTCAGGTATTTCCCCATACGCCAATATTTACCATGTCCTTCATTCAGACAAGACTGTAGGTGTGTGTGCGGGCGTGTGCGAATTCTATTATTCCTGTGGCGACGGTGGAAGTCCACTTTAATCTCAAGAAACCGCTTACACTGTCATATGATTATGAACAGCCGAGAGCTGCGATGGGGTGGAACAAACAACACCCAGCATCGTGTCTTGGACACTTTTGCGATTCTATGCTATCCTTGAAAATGCCATTGATGATGATATTTATGGAGATGCATGTATGGTGTGAATTTGCTAAACACACACACACACACCCCACACCTTAACATTTATGCACAAAGTAAGTGCTCTAAGGGACCGTTCATAATTTATGGCTAGGGGGGGATGATGATTTTTATGGAGAAACATGTACAATGTGAATGCCCCCAAGAGTTTATGTACAAAGAAAGTGGGCCTATCTTTAGAATACAGCACCACAAACTTTAAAAATACGTCATAATACCCTTTTACGTAATGTAATGTGATTTTGTTCGAAAGCATGTTCTCGAAACAATGCCCTATGACGCCTGCATGGCAACATGGTTGTCTAGCTCAGCGAGTGCGTATAAGTTCCGCTCACTGGTGTTTCATCTCTACGAGCTATGTCATTGCATAAGCCGTACGATGTTGAGAGGTTCCAGTAGTTGTATACCGGCGGATGCGTAATATTTTGCAAGCACCAGTTTGAAATATTTTTCTTTTTTCACTAATACGCTCATATTTATTTGTATTACGGGGTGCTGAGGTGTTATGTTTTGTGTATTATTGTATTTTGTATTTTTTAAATTTACATATATCCTCGAGTCATCTGTTTTCGTTCAACATCTGTTTTTGGTCGGCCATTTGCGTGTTCATTTCTCGCGGTTATTAGCGAGTTATTATGTCACCAGACATGTTATTTTTAGCAGGATGTCGACTGCTTCAGCTCTGACTAACAAAATGCTTCGTGTGAAATTTAGTAAGGTACATGATTGCAAACACATGTAAATGTTACGTTTTAGAACCGAGTTTACTAATGCATAAATTTTCATGTAATCAAAATGCTATATCTAAAATATCGTCAGCTCCACCTTTTCAGTATAGCGTTGTCTGCTTGTTTATGTTATGACGTATCATTATCACATGACATATCACGTGTCGTTGCCGTCATAAAAAATATATATGGAAACTGGATAGGGTCATCTCTTATTACGATTTTCTAAAATACTCATTTAATTTTCGAAACTGCAATGAGTATTTCTGTGTCATGGGCCCAGTGTACTCATCCTGCATGCTGTCATTGGGTCCACCTCAAGCTGTGCATCTCCGTATGTGTAGTGAGATCTTCTGATGAGTTTTGGTGCCCTTGTCAGCGGGAACCGGAGGAGTGAAACATGCCTGGACATGTGGTGTAACTAGCAAAGTCTTATCATGGTTAACTTTGACATGAAATTATTACGACCATAGGTTCTAATAATTATTATTGGAACTATGAGAAATATTATTTTTTCTTATCCTGACTCATGCTTATTTGCTTGTCTTCTTCTGGCGAACCTAGTGGAACACTTGTATCTCCCAATTGAAGTTCCCTTCAATCAAAAATCACTCATTAGTACTCACCACGAGTTACCTCCCTTCTGTAAGCGCGTGAACGAGGGCGCCACCCAAGCCAATGTGCCTCACTCTCTCCTTCTTCGCCCAGTGAGCTGGACATGAGAGCGCCTGTGTCTCCCAACACACTATATCCTTTAATTATATTTAGTTAGTTCCTCTTATACGTTAGTATAGAGGTAGTACTAGTATAATTATTCAATTTGCATTGATAATTAATTGTGTTTCTGCTGTTTTATTCACGGTTCGTCGTGTTTGTTCAGTAGGCTACATTAATGAAAAATTGCACAGAATTTAAACTACGTTATTCTGATACCGATCCACATTTAAAATGCCCTAGTTGCATTACTCCATGTTCCTTTGATTCTCGTTGTAAATTTTGTATCAATTTACCTATCTCTGCCTTTGACAAATATTTATGTTCCGTTTATAGACGGAAGGCAGATAAATCCCGTAAACAGAATTCAAACATGGCTAATAGATCGCAAATTAATGTTTCATGTCAACTGTTGACTGAGGACACGCCACCGGCTGGTGGCATGCCTGAGTTTCCCTCGGCGGATAAGCGTGGGACGCAGTCCGCTATGTCCAAGAAGCGACCTGGACCCGGTTGTATCAAACTTTAATGAAGCATTAACGTGCCATTAAACGTTCATTAACTAATGTATCATTAAATTCTGTTGTACTAACGTTTTAATGATGCTCTGTTGTCATTAGTGCGTCATTAACTTAATGAAGGTCCTGGGGTATCATTAGAGCGTCATTAAACTTCCTGGAAAAGTTAACATTGCTCCTAATTTATGAGTATTAAATGTCGTATCTCATGGTATAAACTCAGTTTGAAAAGTAGACACTGCTGAATGTTACTCCTAATTTTGCTATGCGTTAAAAACAGTAAATTTCTCTGCTTTTTATCCTGCACTGATAAAAGTACTGTGCTACTATTTTTTCAATTTGGCATCTTTACGGAAAGTGTTCAGCGAACAAAATTCTGCCTGATACCTGAATGACATAGGTATGTATTAAATTAGTTTGTGTGCTTATGTATAACGTTATACACTCAATCTTAAAAGTGACTCGCAATATGTGTTGAAAATGGATTTTCCCCTATGACGTCAAATGGCTACATAAAGGTCACACGCTTATAAAGATAAGGGGGCCTCACTCCGGTATGCTTAATACTAAGTCATTGTAACTCAGATCACTTGGCGAGAATTTGCTGTGAATAAGGACACAATATTTTCGTGATGTTTTGTTCACGGAATTATCGAAAACAATGATACTCAAAATATTTGTAACAAACGTGCACCTGGCCAATGATTATACGCCATTGTTTTGTCTATAACAAAACATAAACAAATTCAATGAACAAAACATATCCTTTAATAACGTGTGCATATATATACATTTCATGAAATAAATATATCATTTTTATTTATTATGTCAGTTTCACTTAGGTTTAAAATACTAAATGTTGATAATGAAATTAGTTTCATGAAACCACATGTGAACAATATGCAAAGTATACATTAATAATACAAGTGTAATCCGCAGGAACGTGTGATTGTATTTACTCTTATTCAACCGACCTTCACCTCAAAGAAATTGCCACATATGTCCAACAATGTTGATGTATGACATCACTACCGATGACCGATTTCTCATGAAATGGCGGCTTCGTGGATATGGGTGCCAACGATTTTGCGAGGGAACCTTTGTCCATAAATGTATGATGTAAGTAATCGGAAACATTCTGACTATCTGCGTATGGTTGTTTGTTTTTATTGTTTTCATTGAAAAAGTCAGAAATGCCGATAATTGCCTATGCCGTTCTCCATTATTTTGCGTCTCGCATGGCGTCACGCTGCACAGAACTTTCGTATGAATATATCAAATTTCAGTATTGTATCTGTTTTAAGTTTTCTAGTTCTTGCTCACGATACTCTTTCCGTGCATATTCTAAAAATATTGAGCTCATGCATGCTACTTAATAGAGCGAACTGATGTCTAAAAATTGCGAAAATGCTGCACAGTATAAAATCTGATTTTTGCTTTGTTTATATTTCTAGCAAGCTGTGTAATGAGCACAACGTCCCGTTTTCACACCCAATATGTTTCGTTTTTCTTAGACACTTGGTTTTAGTGACAAAGACCATTTGGAATTTGATTCTAAAATGTATGAGGAATTCAGCGATGCATTTGTCACAACTGAATATGAAATATACATGATGTAATAGGCGCCCTATGACTGGCCTTAGCGAAACTTGATTTTGTAAACACTATCCAATATGGCGGAAAGCTCACTCGGCGCTCTCAGTGTTCGTGTATTTTCCAAAACATCCCAACCGATTCTAGGTTTATCGGCGACGTTTCAGAATTATTTAGGCGTGTTTCTTCACAGCAGTCGAAATGTTTGTTTTTGTTGCGAGGTTTAGCCCTAAAGATGCCATTTTGACAGACGACTGAGAGTAACACTTACATGTTTACAGCACGGAATTGTGGGAAAAGATTAGGGGAATCCCCGGATTTAATGAAAATATTTACATTAGGACGTCATTAGATAATGATACGCTAATAAGTGTTTGATACAACTGTTTTTAATGATGCCATTAACTAATGATGCATTAAGGATTTAATGTATCATTAGGGTTTAATGTTGACATTAGTTAATGAAGCAATGATACAACCGGATCCTGCATCTCAAGAGCTGCCGTCTTCTCAGTCCAAGTCGAGGAAACCATCCATATCATCTCGTACACTGCGTACACCAAGATCTACACCTTCATCTAAAGGGAAGTCAACAAAATCTAATAATTTTGCCTCTGATATCTTACCAGTTACAGAATTAGCATTATATGATGATGATTTGCCAATTATCATTCCAGAAGTTCGTCACAAGAAACGGCCCGTTTCTGCGACTGTCACCTCAGCGCAGATGAACACACAACCGGAGATGCCGACTCTATCTCCAGAAATTTTATCAGAGGGTCCCGTCACCTCTGCAGAGAGACATCCCTCATCAACGCAGACCGCTTCAGACAACTTGATCAACCACATAATGAGGGTGATGGAAGACTGCTACGGCTTACAGAGGCCTCAGAGCAACAGGCCTCAGAGCCCACCCCATATTAAGTCATACAGGGCCTCAGAGCCCGCCTTGGCTTCGCGTAGGGCCTCTGAGCCCATAGACGCGCCTCCGCGAAGGGCAACCCTGCCCGGAGTGAGCTCTTTGCATAAGGTATCCCAGGCCGCCTCCGTGAATGAGCCAGAGC